AGTGGAGCCCAAGACAGGGCTTGATCTCACGAACAGTGAGATCATGACCTGAGCTGAAATCAAGAGTCTGATGCTTAACTGACTGAGCAACCCAAGCAACCTGAAATGAGCTGTTTTTAAGCAACAGCAGAGTCAGAGCTATGATTAGGCCTAAGTAAGGGGCAACATTCACAAATGTACTGGATGGCAGTATCTAAAGGCACTTAAACATCATTCTTCGCGGGGGGGGCCTCGGTGGGTCAGTTGGTTAAGCATCCGACTTCAGATCAAGTCATGATCTCACGCTTCTGAGTTCAGGACCCACATCGGGCTTTGTGCTGACAGCTCAGAGCCTGGAGCCTGCTTTGAATTCTGTATCTCCCTCTCTCTCTGCCCATTTCCCACTCATGCTCTGTCTGTCTGTCTGTCTGTCTCTCTCTCTCTCTCTCTCAAAAATAAACATTAAAAAAAAAAACTTTTTTAAAAAGTCATTCTTGGGGCGCCTGGGTGGCGCAGTCGGTTAAGCGTCCGACTTCAGCCAGGTCACGATCTCGCGGTCCGTGAGTTCGAGCCCCGCGTCGGGCTCTGGGCTGATGGCTCAGAGCCTGGAGCCTGTTTCTGATTCTGTGTCTCCCTCTCTCTCTGCCCCTCGCCCGTTCATGCTCTGTCTCTCTCTGTCCCAAAAATAAATAAACGTTGAAAAAAAAAAAAATTTAAAAAAATAAAAAAAAAAATAAAATAAAATAAAAAGTCATTCTTGGTTTCTACTTACTATGGATGGAAAAACAAAAAACCCTACAAAAGACCCAAAAAGCCTTAAACATGACAAAATGTACCAAAATATACCTCATAATTCACACAAACACAACAAGCATGTGGAAAATAATGCTGAACTAGCCAAGAAACCCATAATGTTACAAGTATTCGCACCACTCATTTTTTTTCTCTTGGTTGGGTCCTATTTAAACAGCATGAAAATTCCTTTATGTTTTAAATCCCTTTTTTAGTTATTAACAGTAAGTCTCAGAAAACCCTGGATCAATGCCTAAACTCTAGCTTTAAATGTTACTTACTATTTCTAATTTTAGAGCTAAATCTTAAATCTTTTACCTTATAATGCAATTTTTAAACCTCTCATTACCAGCCCGCTACTTCTGCATACTCTAAATCCTACCAGATGAGACAGTATAATTAACAGAAAATAAATAAGCACATTTCTTTAGGTAAACAACTGAGTATGCATTTTACTCTGTTATTCAGAAATAGCCAAAGTTTGTGGGGTGCCTGGGTTCCTCAGTCGGTTGAGTGCCCAACTTCGGCTCAGGTCATGATCTCGAGGTTCGTGGGTTCAGGCCCTGTGCTGGGCTGTCTGCTGTCAGCACAGAGCCAGCTTCAGAGGCTCTGTCCCCCACTCTTTCTGCCCCTCCCCTATTAGTTCTTTCTCTCATTCTTTCTCTCTTTCTCTGTCTCAAAAATAAATACATAAACTTAAAAAAAAAATAAATAGCCAAAGTTTGTGAGGACTAGGAATTTTCTACTGTACATAGTCTTAGATTTTTAATTGTATACTAACTATAAACTTTATTGTTCTAACATCAACAAACTCTTTATATTCAAGAACAATTCCCTATTATATTGCTAGTAATTAGGGGATGACATTTAAAATAAGGTAAATACTTCTGATAAGGAGAAACCTGCCAATAAAAAAATCCAATTTAAAAACTAGCACAGAGGCACCTGGGTGGCTCACTTGGTAGAACATGCAACTCTTGATCTTGGGGTCATGAATTTGAGTCTCATGTTGGGTGTAGAGATTACTTTAAAATAATAAACAAATAGGCAAAGACTTTAAAATTTATTTTTAAATTTATTGATTTTGAGAGAGACAGAAAGTGCATGCGAGTGAGGG